AGAGGGCGGAGGAAAGGGGAAAGGTAGCGGGACGATCAAGCGGTGGGCAGCGAGCCGCCTGAAGGAGAGACGAGGGGGGAGGGGAGAAAAATCGCCCCCTCCCACAGGATACAGCCCTGGATCCGCCTATTACATATACACGAATATTCGAAAAAAAAAAGAAAAAAATTGAAAAATTTCAAATTTAAAGCCGAAACTTCCTCCGTATTCATTCTCTATGAGAAGGGGAAGCAACTGGGAAGCAGTTTAAGTGGTAGTTGTTCATATCAACAGCAATCAATCGCTGGCAAAAGGTGTCGATAGATCCCTTTTTTGAGGTATATCACTAAGCTGATAGCCGGCAATAGCTGTCGTGTTAACAAAAAAAAATATACATAATTGACTAGCGCACGCACCAATTACCCGTGCGAAGATGCGTTTTTGCAAAGTTCCCGGCAGGTTTTTGACGCTAACGGTACCGGTTTTTCGGCAGATGCTTCCAGCTAAAAGAATTGAGACTGGCCACCATGACTGTAAAAAAACATCCCATCAAAATTTCAGTCTTCTAAAACTTTCAAAGTTCCCGAGTTAGTAGTTTATCCGCAAAAACTCTCACGAGCCCGCATGTGTAAACCACATGGGCAAAAGTGTTCATTTTGGGGATAGGGGCCTGCGCATGCATGTAGATTAAGTTCTCAAAGTTTCAGCCTTGTAGCTTTTGTAGGTCTCGAAAAGAAAAATCGGTACAGACGAACACACACACACACACACACACAGACAACCCCTCGACAATATGCGTTCTTGCATAGCATAGATGCAATAAATGCATAAAAAAACAAAAGACAAAGCTTCATCAACAAAATACTCGGCGCTTTTTATCAGTAGTAGTAGCAGCAGTAGTAGTAGCAGTAGCAGCAGCAGTAGCAGCAGCAGTAGCAGCAACAGCAGTAGCAGCAGCAGTTTGGATTATTTTGAAACAAATTAAAGTGAAACAAACCTTTCCAGCAGTGACATTTCTCAATGTTTCAATCAGTTTGTTTCGGACTTGCTCATTTGGTGTTTTATCAATCATATCACAACAACTACGTACCTGAAATACCATCTTTGTCCGCGGCTAAACAGCACAAATATTACAGATTTAAAAAGTACAAAAAAAAAAAAAACATATAAAAGAGAAGCTAATGAATAACAAAGTTTTATAATTTCATTTAATATCTCGTTTTTTATGCGCTTTTGGCATCTATGCAATGCAGAAAACACATATTACCGAGGGGTTGTCCATATGTATATGTGTATGTGTGTCTATGTGTGTGTCTGTGTGTGTGAGTGTGTGTACGCGTATGTGTGTGTAGTGTGTGTGTGCGTGTGTATGAGTGTGTCTATGTGTTCGTCTGTATCGATTCTTGATCTTGAGATCTATAAAAGCTACAAAACTGAAACTTTAGGGTCTTAATCTACATGCATGTATGGGCTAGTACCTCCAAAATGGACACTGTTGCCCATGTGGTTCCCACGTACAAATCCGTGAAAGATTTCTGTGAGTAAGCTGCTAATGCAGGAACCAAAAAAGCTAGAAAGCCGGAATTTTAAGGGGATGTTCTCTGCCCATGTACAATCAAATGATTTCAAAATCAGCCCCCAGGTGTGCGTGGTTTTGCCTGTGAAAAATTTTTTCGGGTAAGTTGCTAGCTCGAGAACCAGAAAAGCTAGAATGCTGGAATTTTAAGGGGATGTTTTCTGACAGTTTTGTTCGCCAGTATTAATTCTTTTAGCTATTATACAAAATATTGCTTGAAAAAGTTCCAAAAATTGATGGTGGGTACCATTTTGGCGATTGCTTGCTTAATGATGGAACGCTTCTTGGAAAGCATCATAATGGTATCGTTGAGCAATGTCCATTCGTTTCCTTCGAAACAAAATTTGACCATTTGCTGGACAATACGTGTATTCGATTTCATATCTGAGCCAAGTCGCGTTGATTTCTCCAAACTTGCCAATGAATCCAGTGCGGCAGCAACATTGCCAGTCTGTAACACAGCGATGCTACTTCTACTTTTACTAACATACACTTTCTACTGTTACTAAAATACACCACACAAGTAATTTAAATTTAATTTCCATCAAATACAATTATCACAAACGTCATAATGACGAGGTCCAATTGTGGTAATGGTAAGAAATGTATACGACTTAATGGACTGAAACATTTTTTACCACTATAATAATTGTACTAATTTTCTAATTCTCACTTCCTACATCACTTTTTGATCCTTCTTATTTCACCCCTTGTTAATATCCTTTTCTATTACAGAATTAATCTTAAAAAACCTTTAAAACTTGAAAAACTGATTTTTCTAACTAGTAAAAATCATAATTAAAAAAATAACCCCAATTTTTGACTTACAATTTATTTAATTTTTCGAATTTTATTCATCCTTAAGTTTTCTTAAAAATTTTATCCATTAACTGCCTTATAATTAAATTTTTTAAAAATTTTATCCATTAACTACTCCAAAACTAAATTTTTTTATGACAGAACTTAAGCGAAAACCTTCGCAATTGCAGCGGCTTTTTCTAGGGCTTCATCGGTTTGCTTCGTATAATCCACTTCCATTTTGTACAGGCGTCCATCGCCTTCCTGAAGAAAAAAAACGAGGATTATTTTTACATAAATTTCAAAATTCACTTGAATTTTTGTAGCAAAATTTTTTGATTGTATTTTAGCAATATAATCATTAAATTTTTTGGGATTTTGGGATTTTTGAAAGACGATCATTAAATTCTTCCCAAAAAAAACCCTTTTTGGGAGATAAAATGAACGTCAGGATTGCCAGCAGCGCTGAACAGACAAATGACCGAGGGGCTGACCAAGTGGACGTCAAAATCGCCAGTTGGGTTTTATACTTTCCTTTATGGTTCGGCGGTTTCCACTTTAAAAAACGTCTTCCTGCTCAACACGGACATTCCTATTTCTCCTATTAATAATTAGTTCTAGATTGGGCATCTACGGCCCTTTCCCCCCTTCCTATTTGACCATCACAGAAAAAACAACTGGAAAAGCCGTCAAATGCATGAGGGGGACGGGGACGGGGTGGAAAACCACATTTTTTCTAATACTTTTTATTGTATTTTATTTTTTTTCAAGAAAAAAGGAAAAGATAAGGGGGAGGGGTCAAATTTTTTTAATATTTTTTTAGTATTTTATTTTTTTTTTCAAGAATTTCAGTAGAAAAAAAACACAAAATATGGAATGATAAAAACAACTGGAAAAACTATCAACTGCATAACAGATGATGGGGGAGGAGGGGGAGAGTGGGGGAAACCATATTTTTTTTGACTTTTTTTAATATTTTAACTTTTTCAAGAATCCCAGTAGAAAAAAAAACACAAAATATAGCATGATGAAAACAACTGGAAAAGCTATGAGTTGCATAAGGGGGCAGGGGGGGGGAGGGGACAGACCATATTTTTTTTTAATACTTTTTTTCTAGTATTTTATTTTTTTCAAGAACTTCAGCAGAAAAAAATACCTGTACTGCAAGGTTTGCATAATAGTCAGTAGTTTGTGCTGCTGTTGGTTTACTGCTACTTTCAGCACGAATTGGTGAAACTTTGCGACCTTCCATTGCTGAAAAAACAAACAGTTAACTTGTAAATTTTGTAAAAATCACAAAACCTTTACGCGCAGGCCAGAAGCACATAAATAATTGGCCAGTACACCGATTGCCGATGCGAAGATGAGTTGTTTTTCGCATAGCTCCCAACAGGTTTTTGTTGCTAACGGCACTGATTTTTTTCCAGCAGATGCTTCAAGCTAAAAGAATTTCAGACTGGCCGCCAAAACTGTCAGGGAACATCCTCTCAAAATTTCAACTTTCTAGCAACTTACCCGCCAAAAATTTTCATGA